GAGAAGAACGGAGAGGGAAGGGGGTATATTGGGAGGTGGTTACCATCTCAGATACTCAGAGTCCCAGAGAGGAGGTTCCCCGGAGCCTGGCCCTGGCCCTGCCCCTGGGGAGCGCTCAGCTCAGCTCAGAGCTGCACCTCCTCCCCAACAGCCCCTCCAAAGAGACTGCTGGCCAGAGCTGTGAGGAGAGCGGGATGAAGGGGAGAGATCAAGTGGGGGACCCCAAGCTGCCCATTCCCAGCGGTGGTAGGAAGGCAGGGGAGGGAGGGTGCGGAGGAGGCAGAGGCTGGAGGAGACTGGTGGCGGAGGCTGGCCAGCAGAAGGGGGAGGCACTGGAACGAAAGCTCACCTGAGGATTTGTTCCTCATCAGCCGGACCTCACGCGCTTGGATGCCATGGGACTGCAGCTGGCCACGGATCTGTAAGGGGAGATATAGATTGGGGCCGGCTCAGCACAGGGGGCTGCTGGGTAGCTGAGGCCGGCTGGAGGCCTCCAGGCCCTGAGGGGCCATTGGCGATGCACACACACACACACCGTCTCCTCTTTCTCTCAAGGCTTTTCCCCCAAATGACCAGAGCCCCAGACCCACACCAGTACCCAGTCTCAGCGTTCGGCCCCGGACTTGGAGAGTCAATTGCAGAACCGGGCCTGGCGCAAGGTGAAGCATGGCAGCATGATGAGCCTTGGGGCAGAGAACGATACGAGAGCAAGCGAGCCTGGCCATGGAGAATGGTGGGCGGGGGCGCCCTGCCAAGAGGCTTGGTGCAGCCACAAAGCGAGGAAAGCTGGGATGCAATTCTGGCCCCTGGCTAAGGGGCTGCCCCCTGCTCGCATCAAGAGACCCATGACACACATACGAAACCAGGAAGGACTGGGGTCTGAGCCAACGCCAAGCCACGTTTGCTCCTAGAACCTGAGTGGAGCAAAACCTGGGGCAGAGACAGAAAGGTGTGGTTTGGATGAAGTCAGCCGGAGGGAAGCTGCAGAGGCAATTCGGGATCTGGCCCAGGTGCGGCAGGGTCTCTAGGCCAGTGGTGGCGCTCGCAGAAGCCTGGGAGTGTGTGCTGGGCATTCTCAGGCAGCAGCCTGAACGCCTCTGGGCCTCGGTTCCCTTATCAGCTTAAACAACAGAAAGGAGATTAAACACGCACGCACGCACGCGTAGGAGGATGAAAAAGGACACACACAGGAGGTTATCTGGACCACAAACACTCAGGAAGAGCTCAGGACACAGCAAGAATTAGGGCTCTGGGGTCCACCTGCTCGGTTTCAGACCCCAACTCTGCCCTGCCACTCACTGGCTGGGACTTGGGACAAGTCACTTCCCTGCTGGGGGCCTGGCTTCCTCATCCAGAGAATGGAAAGACAAAGAGTACCTTCTCCGCGGGGTGGCTGTGAGGATTAAGTCAGAAATCCTCAAGAGAGGCCAGCACTCAGTACTGTCTGACCAGGAATGGGCCAGGCGGGTCAGACTAGAGGGCGGCTGAGGAGAGCTGAGCAGAGAATTCACAGGGAAGGGGGGTGGCAGGGAGGAGGAGGAGAAGCAAGGAGGCTACTCTAGGGGCTCTCTCGGGGTTTTCCTGGGGCTCCTTAGGGGAAGTCTACAGGAGAAGGAACAGGAGAAAAGGGAGGAAGATGGAAGGGAACGCAGTGTGGAGAGACTGTTAGCAGCGGAGGAAGGAAGTCAAAGAAAAAACCCAAGGCTTGTCTGGCTGGAGTGGCTCAGTTGGTTGGAGCATCGTCCTGTGCATGGTTCGATTCCCGTCAGGGCACACACCCAGGTTGTGGGTTCGATCCCCAGTTGGGGCATTTACGGAAGGCAACTGATCGATGCTTCTCTCTTTCTCTCCCCCTTCCTCTCTGAGCATCCTTTCTCCTCCCTCTGTTTCTCTGTCCCTGTCTCTCTCCCCCTTCCTCTCTCTAAGCATGAGAATTAAAAAAAAAAAAAAAGAAAGAAAAAACCCAAGGCTTTGTGGCCAGGCCAGTGAGGGGATCTGATGCAGGTGACAAAAGAGGGCAGGGGGAGGGGTGAGAAGAAAACCTCAGAAAATCCCATGGGGACCCTTTCCACCAGCATCACCTCTACCACCAGCAATACCCGGCATTTGGCCTGGCATTGGGCCTGGCCAACGTCTGGCCCTCAACCCACATACGCAGAATGGACGAAGGGCCAGGGGCATGGGCGGGAGGAATGCTCTGCTCCCTCCCGCATCCAATCTATCCGCCACTCCGCTCCTCCTTCCAGACCAGGAGACAAGGCCTGCCCGAGGCCAGGTCAGTGCTGGGAGCCGGGAGCCGGTGGGGAGAAGGGGTGAAAGGTGCTGAGGGCAGGGTGAGGGAGAAGTTGAGGGCCCTGGAGGAGGAAACCCAGCCTGGCCTCCTGCTCTGCCACCTGCCCGGGGCCGTGGGGGGGCACGTACGTCATCCTCAGTGGCTGCCTGTGGCAGCATCCTCAGCATGACGATGTTACTGGCCTTCTCCTCCTCCTCCTCCTCATCCTCCTCCTCCTCCTCCTCCCCTTGCTCCGTGCGATAGTCCTGGTCCCGATAGTCGCCGTCTCGGGGGAAGCCCGGCGGGCCAGTGGGGCTGTGCCTGTGCCGCCGCCGCCGCCTACGCTGAGTCTCGGAGCCCGGGGAGGCCTCGTAGGAATCCTGGCCAACAGAATGAGATGACAGACACCAGACGCGTAGTCAGTCTGGGGTGGGCCTGGGGGCTGGCCACTGGCTCTCTGAGGCAGGCAGGCTCTGAAAGCCAGGGCTGGGCGGGCTCCGGCTAAAGGCCTGGGGCAGGCAGGGGGGTAGGGGAAGCCCTGTGCTGCAACCCTCCTGGGGTTTGTCATCCTCCCCATGACGTGACGACTCTGGGGGCTGCCTTGGAGGGGAGTGGGGAGAAGCCGGTGGCTCTGTTGGCGGGGGGAGGAGCTCCCACAGACTGGAGGCCGGACACTGCTTAAATCTCCTCGGGAAGAGGTGGTCTGAGGTTGGCACGCAAAGCCCCGCCCTCTGTGTCTCCCTGCTCCTCCCCAGGCAGCTCAGCTAGTGCTGTGCACAGTTGTTCCTTGTGCCACAGAAGGCCGTGCATCGCTTGTGATTCCCAGCCTGCGCCTGGGCCCTGCAGCCAAGCTGTGGGTATAGGAAGAGCTTAAGATCTTGGTCAGAGCCAAGCAAACGTGCAAGGGCCACAGCACGCCTCCTGGTCCCTGATCTTCCGCCTGCCCAGGATCCCTCCTAAGAGGGTGTGGGTGCTGGCTCCTTGGGTGCTGCCCAACCCATCCTTCCAGGACTGAGCAGGCCAGGCTGGGGTCCACCCCTCACCCCCGCCCTCGGGAGGGCCAGATGATTCATCGCTCCACTCCTATCCTTCCCGCCGCAGCTGCCTTCCCCAACTGGGAAAGCGGGCTGCTTCCCACAGGGGTCTCTGCATTAGACACCCCCTCACCCCAGAGGGAGGCCAGCGGCCCACACTCTGCCCTTCCAGGGCTGAGGCTGCAAGAGCATCCTTCCCACCCGCCGAGTAAGGGAGCTGCCTGCTGGCTTAGACCAGGGCCCTGGCTGTCCCTCAAACGGGGTTTCCCTAAGGCAAGGCTGCCTCTTCCCCTCAGCTGAAGGCTCCCTGATGGGGAGCATCGTGCCTTCCTCCTCAGTCTAGGGCTGACTACCAACATGGAGCACAGAGGACAGGCCTCAGCAGGGCCTTCCCTTCTGTCTAGGGGCTCTGGCAGCACGGGAAATGCCCACGCTGGCAGCCCAGAGCTGCTCTGTGTGGTGAGAACCAGTTTCCCAGTGGCCCTCCCGCCCCTAGACGCCGAGTGCCACTGAGAGGCGCTTCAGGAGCCTTGTACTGGCTGGGAGCAGGCATGCACGGCTTGCAAACCGTGGGCCCTAACTGAGTCCTGGGGAAGAGGGAGAGAGGTGGTGGCGAGGGGCCCCCAGAAGTACAGAGCCAAGCATATGGAAGTCAGGGAGCCCCAACTCGGGAGAGGAGCCCCCCATCCCAAAGGGAAGTGGGGACAGACCCTTCAGGTGAGGCAAAGCCACTGAGCACAGTCCAAAGGCATGGGAGCTGAAAGCTACCTGCAGCCAGACGGAGGCCCTGCAGGAGCCACCCCCCGCCCCCCACCTGGCCAGGCCGGCCCTGCTGCCCTCACCTCTGCACTCTGCTCCTCGGAGGAGTCGTCATAGTCGTGCTTGCCCTCCTGGCTGCCATACTCGCGGGGGTACGAGCGGTAGTCCATGTCTCGGTAGTCATGGTCCCGGCTGCGGTTCTCCCCACTGTCGTCCTGGGAACGGTCGGTGGCTCCATAGCGGCCAGTCCTGTCCCCACGACCACCCCTGGGGGAAGGCAAGCGGGAGGGGTTACAGGGCAGTCCTTTCTCAAACGTGCAATAGGTGAAGCTGAGCCCGACCCACTCACTCTTTGTAGACCCTCAGCCCCAACCCCCGACAGGGGTCCCTAAATCCGGACCCCGCGGGGCGAGCGGGCTCCCACCTCTCTCACCAACACAATCCACTCCTCTCCTTCCCTCCCTCGCCTCTCCATTCCATGCTGTCTTCCTCCCCTGGGCTGTGGGTGTGGACGCCTGACCTCCACCCAGGACTCCAGCCCAGTTCACTCTCTACACCCCAAACGTGAGTGAGTGCTCTACAAGGCAAAGCCAACTGAGCCCAGTCCTATCACTCCCTTCAGTGTCTCCCTCACTCTCAGGATAAAACACCAAAATGCTCACCAAGGCCCTACAAGGTCTGCAGGGGCCTGCAGGCGAAGGTTCCTGCCGACCTCCCTCTCTCTCAATGCCTCCGTGCATTTTGCGCCCTGCCTGTCTCAGTCACCTTGCCAGCATTAGCAGCTGTTTCATTTAAACTCCCACTGCAATAACTGTAAAGTCATTATTGCAAAGTTGACTTAATGTGCATTTCTTCGATGACTTAAAAAAAAAGTATTAGACTGGCCCAGCCGGCGTAACTCAGTGGTTGATGTCAACCCACAAACCAGGAGGTCACGGTTCAATTCCCCGTCAGGGCACATGCCTGGGTTGCGGGCTCGATCCCTAGTGGGGGGTGTGCAGGAGGCAGCCAATCAATGATTCTCATCATTGATGTTTCTGTCTCTCTCTCTCCCTCTCCCTTTCTCTCTGAAATCAATAAAAATAAATTTTTTAAGTGCCCTCCTCCTCAAAAAAAAAAAAAAAAAGAAAAGAAAAGAAAAAGTAAACTAGATTGAGTTCTGGGAAATGCAAGAATCATACCCATTTGGTTTACTGCCCTAGTCTCCAAAGCTTAGCTTAGTGCCTAGTACTCAGTAGGTGCCCAATATTTTATTTATTTTTTTGATAAACTAATGATTTAAAAAGTATTCTAAAAGCAACGAATACATGTTTACTTAAAACAAGGAAATACAGCCCTAGGTGGTTTGGCTCAGTGGATAGAGCATCAGCCTGTGGACTGAAGGGTCCCAGGTTCGATTCTGGTCAAGGGCACATGCCCGGGTTGCAGGCTCAATCCCCAGTAGGGGGCGTGCAGGAGGCAGCCGATCAATGATTCTCATCATTGATGTTTCTCTTTCTCTCTCCCTCTCTGAAATCAATAAAAATATATTAAAAAAACAAACAAGGAAAAACAGACACCATATACACTACCACTAGAAGGAGCCCAATCCTGGTCAGGAACAACACTAGCATGTCTATTAGTAACACTGTTCTAAGATACTAGCTAAAACAACTAAACAAAGGAATGAAGAAAAGAGATTAAAAGTTGGAAAGGAGAAGGTCAAATCAGCAGTACTTGTCAATGATACGAGGATATAATATGCAGAAATAAATACCTTGCCTGTATTCAGGGTGCCACTGTTTAGAAAACAGGAAGATCCCAAGTATAACTGCATCAAGAAGATTAACTAATGAACACGTGCAAGATCTTATAACTGACTACACTTCACTCATATAAACCAGGATACATTTAAAATGGGTTGGTAATTGCTCTAGCTGGGGTGGCTCACTGGATAGAGCGTTGGCCTGTGGACTGAAAGATCCCGGGTTCAATTCCAGTTAAGGGCACATGCCCGGGTTGCAGGCGCGATCCCCAGTAGGGAGTGTGCAGGAGGCAGCCGATCAATGAGTTTCTCTCATCATTGATGTTTCTATCTCTCTCCCCTTCCTCTCTGAAATCAATATACCTATATATCTATATCTATATCTATATCTATATCTATCTATATATGTTTAAAAGATCTTTAAAAAATAAAATGGGTCAACAATTGACTGATTTTTTTAAACCTCATCCGAGAACACGCTTAGAGAGAAGAGGGGGAGAGAGAGAAACATTGATGTGAGAGAGAAACAGGCTCTGACCAGTGATCGGACCCACAACCTTTCGGTGCACAGGACAACGCTCAACCAACTGAGTCACTCTGGCCGGGCTGAAATAGGTCAATGATTTAGGTGGAAAAAAATGAAACAATAAATGTAGAAGAAAACATGGGATAAATTCCTTGATAAGCTTGAAATGGGGAAAACTATGACACAAATCCAAACGCCATGGAAGAAAAAATAACTAAATCCGACTTCATGAAAAACCATCAAAGCCAAGTGAAGACAAACAATAAACTGGGGAAGATACAAGAAAAGGAAAAAGGAAAGGAACAGAATTCACAGTAAAGAAATATAAACGATTTATATTTGAAAAGATGCTCTATCTCAATCATAATGAAAGATGAAAATTAAAATCACATTGGATACACCATTTAAAAAATAAACATTTAAATGTTATTTTTGTGTATTTTTCTAAATCATTTCTATTGTGGTAATATATACAGAAAAATGTACAATTTTAATCATTTTTATGTGTTCAATTAAACGGCACAAAGTATACTGATAACAATGGATAATCTTCACCATTTCCAGAACCTCTTCATCACCCCAAACAGAAACTTTGTGCTCACTGAACAATAACTCTCTGCACAACCTCTATTCTACTTTCTATCTCTATTAATTTGCCTATTCTAGGTACCTCTTTTAAGTGGAATCACATACGTCTCTTTGTGTTTGACTTATTCCACTTAGCATGTTTTCAAGGTTCATCCATGTTGTAGAATGTATCAGAATTTCATTCCTTTCTATGGCTGAATATGTATGTATGTATGGTATATACCACACTAATTTTTTTTTAAATCCCCACTGAGTCCTGACCGGTTGCTCAGTGGTTAGAGTGTTGGCCAGCAGACTGAAGGGTCGTGGGTCTGATTCCTAGTCAAGGGCATGTGCCTTGTTTGCAGGCTTGGTCCCCGGCCCAGTCGGGGCAAGTGTGGGAGGCAACCAGTCGATATGTCTCTCACGATGCTTCTCTTTCTCTCTCTCTCTCTCTCTCTCTCTCTCTCTCTCTCTCTCCCTTCCCCTCCCCCCCCTTCTCCCTCCCTCCCTTCCACACTCTCTCTAAAGATCAATGGAAAAAGATCCTCAGGTAAGGCTTAAAAAAAAATCCTCACCCGAGGATATGTATCTTTACAAATTGATTTTAGAGAGAGGAGGGGGGGAGGGAGAGAGAGAAACATGGATGTGAGAAACATTGGTCCGTTTCTTTTAGTATGTGGCCTGACTGGGGATCGAACCCAAAACCTGGGTATGTGCCCTGACCAGGAATTAAACCTGCCACCTTCCGGTTGTACAGGACAATGCTTCAACCAACCAAGCCACACCGGCCAGGGCTGGTATACACATTTTGTTTATCCCTTCATCTGTTAATGGACACCTGCATTGTTTCCACCTCCTGGTTGTTTGGGTTATTGTGAATAATGCTGCTACGAACACGGGTGTACAAGTATCTGTCTGAGTCCCTGCTTCCAATTCTTTTGGTATATATCCGAGAGTGGAATTGCTGGATCACATGGTAACTATTTAATTTTTTGAGAACTGCCAAACTGTGTTCCACAGCGGCTGCACTAGTTTACATTCCCATCAGAAACACACAAAGGTTCCAATTTCTCCACATCCTCACCAACACCTGTCATTCTCCATCTTTTCATGTGCTTATTGGTCGTTTGTATATATTCTTTGGAGAAATGTCTATGCAAGTCTGTTGTCTATTTTTGAATTGGGTTTTCTGTTGCTGTTGTAGGAGCTCTTTATATATTCTAGGTGTTAATCCCTTATCAGATATGTGACTTGGAAATATGTTCTTCATTTTATGTGGATTGTCTTTTCACTTTTCTGAGTAGTATCCTTTGATGTATGAAAGTTTCTAATCTTGATGAAGTCAAACTTCTTATTTTGAAATAATTTTAGATTTACAGAAAGCTCAAAGATAACAGAATTCTAGTACACCCTTCACCCAGCTTCCTCTAATGTTAACAGAAGTTAACTAAGCTGTACACTATATTAGGATTTTACCAGTATTTCCACTACTATCCTCTTTCTGTTCTGTTCCAAGATCAAATCGAGGCTACCATATTGCATTTAGTCATTACGGCCCCCTCTGGTCTGTTAAAGTTTCTTGGTCTTTCCTTGTTGTTTTTTTTTTTTCTTTCTGTTGTTGTTTTTACGATCTTGACAGTTTTGAACAGTACTGGCTAGGTATTTTGTAGAATGTACCTCAACTTGGGTTTGTCTGATGTGTTCTTGTGATTAGACTTGAAGTGATGAAGATTATGGTGTTTTGGGGAGAAGAATACAGTAGATATGAGCTGCCCTTCTGATCACATAGTACCAGGGTGCACATGATATCAACATGTCTTATCACTGGTGATGCTGACCTTGATCATCTGGTTGTATGGTAGGATCTGTCAGATTTCTCTGCTGTAAAGTTTCTCTTTTTCCCTTTCTACTCTCTACTCTTTATTTTATTTTTTTAATTGATTTTTTACAGAGAAGAAGGGAGAGGGATAGAGAGCCAGAAACATCGATGAGAGAGATCTATCAGCTGCCTCCTGCACGCCCCCTAGTGGGGATGTGCCTGCAACCAAGGCACATGCCCTTGACCGGAATCGAACCTGGGACCCCTGAGTCCACAGGCCGACGCTCTATCCACTGAGCCAAACCGGTTCGGCAACTCTCTACTCTTTAGAAGAGAGTCACAGTCACTAGGACCAGCCCATCCTCAAGAGGAGGGGAATTAAGTTCTACCTCCTAGAGTGAAGAGTGTGTGTGTGTGTGTGTGTGTGTGTGTGTGTGTGTGTG